TGGAGATTAAGCAATATACTCTTGAATAATCAATGAATCGTAGAAGAAATCAATAAGACAGTTCCTAGAATCAAATAATGCCAGTACAACATACCAGAATTTATGACATAATGAAAGTTGTCCTAATAGGAAAGTTTATTGCTGTGAATGCCCACCTTGAGAAACAGAGAGCCCAAGTACCCTAATGATGCATCTCAATGCCCTAGGAAAAACAATGCAAATCCAGAGCTGTGTAAGGAACAAAATTAGAAAGATCAGAGCAGTTATTAATGATTGAGAATAAAAAAACAATACAAAGAAGCAATGAATGGAAAAGCTGGTTCTTCAAAAGAATGAAACAGGCAACCAATTCTACAAAAAAACAACAAAAAACATCCATGTGAATGCAATTACAAATCAAAAGGTGAATCACAATGGACACCACTGAAATCCAGATGATTAGTAACTACTTACAAAATCTGTACTCCAATAAATTGGAGAACCTTGAAGAAATGGATAGATTGCTAGATACATGAATTATCAAAATGGAACCCAGAAGAAAACCCTAAACAGTTAAACAACAAGCAAGGAATTAGCGGCAATAATAAAAAACCTACCAACTATGAAAAGCCCAGGATCTAATGGATTCACCACTGAATTCTATAAGAATTACTACAAGATCTATTGCCCATACTCCTCAACACTTTAATAAAACTGAAAGGGGGCCAGGGACCTAGTTCAGCTGTGCAGCACCTGCCTGGCAAGCATGAGGTCCTGGGTTCAATTCCCAGTAACTAAATTATAAATAAAATTGAAAGGGAAAGGGTACTTTCGATACTAATTCTTGGAAGCTAGTGCTACCTTGATTCCAAAACCAGATAAGGACCCAACTAAAAAAGAAAACTACAGGCCAACCTCTTTAATGAACATAGACACAAACATCCTCAAGAACTTACTGGCAAATAGCATGTAACAAACCATTAACAAGATCATACATCATGACCAATTGTCTTAGTTACTTTTCTTTTTTTTTTTTTTGGTACCGGAGATTGAACTCAGGACCTTGTGCTTTCGAGGCAGGTGCCAGAACCACTGAGCTAAATCCCCGGCCCAGTTACTTTTCTCATTGCTGAGACAAAATACCCAACACTCAAAGATAAAGGGGGAAAGGTTTATTTAGCTCACAGCTTGTAGAGGTTTCAGTCCACAATCGGCTGGCTCCATGGCTGGGTGGCATGGCAGATAGGCATTGCAGAGCAGAAACAGTTCATGGCAGGCAGAAGGCAGAAAAGCAAGCAAGAGAAAACAAGCCTCTTTCTTTCCCTTATGTTGTATCCGGCTACCAGGATTAGGGTGGTGGCAAACCAATGGGGGACTGATTTAGTAATTACCCACCCTTAATCCTAGCATTGCACCATGAGTCAATCACACAGTCTAGATTCAGTCACCTCTGAAAAAGCCCTGCCTATGACTGCATAAGGCTTTGGGGGAACATTTGGACACAAGGCATAACACCAAGTAAGCTTTCTCCCAAGGGTGCAAGGATGGTTCAACATACCTAAATCAATAAATGTAATATATTACATAAACAGAAATAAGGAAAACACATGATAATCTCAATAGATGCAGAAAAAGCCTTTGACAAAATCTGACATTTGTTTATGATAAAAACCCTTAAGAAAATAGTTATGGAAGTGCCTTATTTCAATCTGATGAAAGTCATTCATGACAAACCTACTGCTAGTATCATATTAAATGGGGGAAAATAGAGAGCTTTTTCTCTAAAATTATGAACAAGGATTTTCACTATTACTGCTCCTGTTCAATATACTACTTGATATTTTAGCCAGAGTAATCAGGCAAGGCAATTTAAAAAAAAAGAATATGTAGAGGAAAGCAAGAAGTTAAACTATATTCTCAGATGACATGATCCTTTACATAGAAGATCCGAGAAAATTCTACTGAAAGAGTCCTAGAATAACCCAAGTTCAGCTATGTAGCAGAATACAATATTGACACAAAAAATAGTGTTCCTGTACACCAATAGTGAACTTACTGAGAAGGAAATTAGGAAAATAATACCATTAAAATAGCTTCAAGAAACATTGCATACTTAAGAATTAACCTAACTAAAGAAGTGAAAGCATTTTACAATGAAAACTACAGTACCCTGAAAAAGGGAATCAAAGAGAACATTAGAAAATGGGAAGATATCCCGTTCCTGGATAAGCAGAACCAACATTGTTAAAATGGCCAAACCTCTGAAACTGTTAGATTTAATGCAATCTCAATCAAAATACCAACAGCATTCTTCACAAAACTAGAAAAACAATCCTAAAATTCACATGGAACCAGAAGAGCACCAGAATACCAGAAGAAATCCTGGGCAATAAAAGCAAAGCTGGAGGCATCACAATCCTGGATTTCAAGTTATATTACAAAGCTACAGTGATAGAAACAGCATGGTACCAGCACAAAAACAGACTTGTGGATCAGTGAAACAGAATAGAGGATGCATAAACAACCCCAAGCACATTTAGCCATCTAATCTTTGACAAAGGAACCAAAAACATGTGCTCAAGAAAAGATAAGACTGTTTAACCAATGGTACTAGGAAAACTGGCTGTACACATGCAGAAGATTGAATCTAGACCCATTTCTATCACCAGGTACTAAACTAAAAACACATCAAAGATCTAAATGTTAAAAACAAAATCTGGTCCGGGGATTTAGCTCAGTGGTTCTGGCGCCTGCCTCGCAAGCGCAAGGTCCTGAGTTCAATCCCCAGTACCAAAAAAAAATAAAAATAAAAAATAAAAAAATAAAAACAAAATCTGCTGAAAGATATATAGGTGAAATTCTTGAAGACACTGGCATAGGCAAGAACCTTTTGGTCACAACTCCAATTGCACAAGAAATAACAAGAATCAACAAATGAGACTACATCAAATTAAAAAGCTTCTGGACAGCAAAGGAAACAACCAATAAGAGTCAATAGATAAGCTACAGAATGGGAAAAATTTCTGTCAGCTACTCCTTGGATAGAAGACTTATATATGAATAGAGAATATATGGATAGAGGAGAATATATGAAGAACTAAAAAAAGAAATCAGACCCTCCCCAATACAAACCCAATCGAAATCATGGGCAACTGACATGGAAACTTCTGAGAACAAGTACAAATGAGCAATACAAGAGAAAATGATCCATATCTTTGGCCATGAAAGAAATGCAAACAACACTGAGATTCCATCTTACTCCAGAAAGAATGACTATCATTGTAAGTCAAATAACATGCTGGCAAGGCTAAGGGGGAAAAGGTACCCTTCTACGTTGTTGGTGGGAATGTAAAGTAGTACAGCCACTATTGAAGTCAGTATGAAGGAAAATTCCTGAAAAAACAAGAAATTCTGTTAAGTTCAGCCAATCCTAGGTATGTTCTTGGAAGAGTTAAAGACATCCTATTACAGTGATCCATTTTTATAGAAGCACAACTCATAATAGCCAAATCTTGGAAGCAACCTATATGTTCAATAGATGAATGGATAAAGAAAATGGGTATTTATATAAATGGAGTACTACTCTGCCATAACAAATAAAAATTTGAGTCATCTGTAGGAAAATGGATGCACTATGAAACCACATTAAATGAACACACAAGCTTAAATTTCGCATGGTTTTTCTTAGATAAGATTTTTGCAAATGGGAGAGGGACCAAGAGATGGTGGTAGGGAGGGAAAGTAAAAGCATTATGATGTATTATGTACATGTACTCTCTATGATGGTATAATAATTATGTACCGCAAACATGTACTAATATAAAAAGGAAAAAAAATAAAGACATTCCTACAGGATGAGTAGTGCTCACTGTCATTTAAACCCAAATGAAGAAGTGGACTTAAAACACCAAAGGTGAAAAAGGATTTTTGGAAGCAGTGGTTGCCTAACACTATGAATGGACTTTTAACTTGTACAAGGCTGAAGATCCTAAAAAACACTCATCTTAGAGGTGGGGAAGAGTATGGGTGGTCCTCTCCTAGCACTAGAACCCAGATTCATAAAGGCATTGCTTTTCCTTGATTGTCCCACCTCACAATGATTTGGAAACATTTCATTCTACTTTCTCTCAAATGGGTATGACTCTTTTTTTGGTACTAGGGTTCGAACTCAGGACCTTGCATTCGCCAGGCAGGCGCAGTGCCACTGTACTAAATCCCTGGCACTCCAATTGGTATGACTTTACATTTGGGAGATATTTGATGCACTCATATGGCAAACAGGTGTGGAAATGTAGTCATAAATCGTATCTACTTGTGTTGGCTTTATTTAGCACTGCCCTCAGTCCATTGCCATTTCAACCTAAGCATTGTTAAGTTTTGAGTTCTCCATTTGGAGAGGAAAATCCATTGAGACAGAAGAAACAAAGCAGAAGAGGTTCCACTGTTGCTTATTTTCCAGTAATGATTTTCCTTAAAAAATTAGTTTTTACTAGTCCTAAATATTTTTCATTTTCCAATTGAAATAGGATAAACAATTCAGTATTGGGTTTACCCTCAGGTTAGTGTAGTTGGTATAAAAGGTGTCAGGTGCCTTCCAGATCTTGCCAGTCATCTTTATAAAGATTCTGGACTTCAGCCCACATGGGATGGAAGGCATTGAAATGGTGGAGGGATATGACTTTGATGCAGAGTGAAGTATAGGTGGGGAGATGATGTAGGATAGGAGCCTTTTGTGGAAGAACAGGTCAGAATTGCATGCTGTTGGGGAAGAGGTAGTGATGGAGATACGTGGGAGATAAAATTTATAGAATTTGAGTAGCAGTAGGTCAAGATAAACCTGGTATTTTTTTTTCAGAATGAGACCTCTTATAAATGTGCATTATAGCTAACAGCACTGGTTGCTACTAGTTTTCCTTAGTCAAACACATATTTTCTGCTTAAAAAAAGATTTAAATGTTGGTGAGAAAGGTGCAGCTATCTAGAAACAAACTTAAAACAGTGACCCAGAACAGAGCCAATTGTGGTAGTATTGAACTTTTATCCTTAACGACCTTTAAATTATTTTAACAAAACATCTTCACAAGGGCCAGGGATTTAGCTCAGTGGTTCCGCCGCCTGCCTCGCAAGTGCAACATCTCGAGTTCAATCCCTAGTACCAAAAAAACAAAACATCCTCACAAGACAGTTTTAATGTTACTGTAAAGTAAGACATTTATCTCCAAGTGTTCTACAGAAGTTTTGAATTCTTAGAATCTTATAGAACCCTTTGTGCTGGACAGGACCTTAGGAGTGCTTTCATCTGTTTTTGCAGATGAAGAGGTCTAAGACCTGCCTATGAGCCCCATTGCAGTCTGGTTTTGTTCAGAGAACTCACCTTCCAGGCAGACCTTTCCATTTTAATTTCTGAGCTTGAATTTCCTCATCTGTAAAAATGGGGGTAATGTTTTTTGTAGGATGGTTGAGAATCTAACCCACAAAACACTCTTCCTAAGTGCTAGGATTATAAGTGCCTAAGAAGGGTCAGCTACAATCATTGGTTATGGGGACAACAGCCCAATTTTGAAACACCCAAAGGATCCAGACACAGACTTCAAGCACAGGACTGTAATTTAAACCTAGCAATAAAGCAAGCAGGACTCACAGAAACACTAAAATTGTAGTCCTGGCTCAAGCAACAGCTACGTTGTTTGGCTCAGTGAGACATTTTCCACACAGAAATCTATCTTCGACAATGTAAATTATGAAGAGGGTTGGTCTGACCAACCTAGGGCCCCCTGGCTTCTCCCAGGGGGCCCATGCTGCTCTGCTGTAGGAGTCAAGGGTCAAAGCATGGTTAGAAAAGCAACACAAGTGTTTTCTTGGTGTCGCTGAAAAGGAAGGTGGGTGCGATCAGTACTCTTTATTTTAAATCATGTAAAAGGTATCTGATATGAGGCAGTCAGCTACACCAGTTTTTCCACCTAGTTAAGGAATCAGTCACATGTGGTGGCACATGCCTATAATCTCAGCACTCTAGGAGGCTGAGGCAGGAAGATTCTAAATTCTAGTCCAGTGATTCAGCAAAACCCTGTCTCAAAATAAAAGGGGATATAGCTCAGTGTCCTGGTTTCAATCTCCAGTTGAGGAAAAAAGAACACATGAAAACACACAAATCAAGAAAGCACAAACATGCCTCTATCAAATGAGAGTGAGGCAGAAGTACAAATCTAACTTCAGAATAAATGTGCATGCCCCAGTCTTCTACATGTTTACACTTTTTCTTAGGTGTAGGGAAGAAAATCAGAGGTAGTAAGACTGGGAGCTTAATGGTGGTCTACAGTACAATCCCAGCTGCAGCCTGCATGGGGCTCATTGGGCCTGTGCAAGGGGGCTGCTTCCTGCCACGTGATTGCAACTGTATCACATGCTGCACCTACATAAACTGAACTAGGGGCTAGGAAAGTGACCCATAAATCTGCTCCTGCCCGGTATACTCATCATATCCACCCTCCAAAGCTGAACACAAAGGGGTGCCTGACATCCAGATAGGTTTTGTTGTTTCCACTTTATTGCTCAAGCATGGGACTTGAGGCGCACCTGGACCTTCAGCAACATGCAGAGAAGAGGCTAGGGGTTGGGGTTACAACCAGGGCAAGAAGAAAATCTGACAGGAGGGGAACTACTGAAAGGGAAGACAGGGGTGGCCACCAAGACACCAGAAGATACATCACTCACACCATCTGGGGTGTGGAAGGGAACAAAAAAGGTAATGGGCAGAGCAGTGGTTTTTCCCATGCCCCTAGCACCGCAGGGAGGCCACATGTTTGCAAATGGACTGGGGCAGAGGATTAGGATAACGGCTGCCTGGGACTTTCCCTCTATGCCCTGGTCTCACCTCAAATTCTATCCCTGCCACCTGCCCCCTTCTACCATTTGAAAAATGGACTTAACAGAGGGAGCAAAATAAATTAACATTTTCATCAATATGTGAGGATGGACTTGTGTTCATGGATAACAGGGGAAGAGGTGGTGATACCACCTCAAATTATCCATCTCAACACCCCCACCTTTCCCCCTCAAAGCCATTATCCAACCAGATAGAAAAATAAAGTCTAATTCACTGAAAATTCTTCAGTTTTTACAAAACTAACAGGGTAGGGTAGGGAAGAGAGCAGGGAGGCAGGCAGCTGCATGGAGTAGGGTTGGGAAGGCTATGCCTCTGTCTCCACCTGAGGCTGGGTCCCCGAAGCATCTTTCTTCAGCTCAGCCTTCATTTCTGTGTCAGTGTGATGGTCTCCTGTGGCTGCCTCTGCCTTGGCCTGTAAGGAAGAGGGAGAGGAAGGTGCTGAATTCCCAAGTGAAAACCACACATTCAACTTCAACAGAATCGCATGAACTTAACAATTCTTCTAGAACTGTCCTAAAGATATACCTGGTATGTTCAAATTATGAATTTATAATGTCATTCATTTACAATACTGTTTAGAACTATGCTCATCCATCAGGTGATATCTATTACATGTGACCGGTTCCAATCAATGTGTGTTTTTTTTTTTTTTTTTTTTTGGTACTGGGGATCGAACTGGAGACCTTTTGCTTTCAAGGCAGGCAGCAGCACCACTGAGCTAAATCCCAGGCCCCCAATCGATGTTTTGAGGCAAGGTCTCACTATGTAACACAGCTGGCCTCAAACTCATTATGCAACCCAGACTGGCTTCAGAACTCATAATCCTATTTCAGCCTCCTGAGAGATGGAATTACAGGCATGTGCCAACTTTAAATCTGTTTTAAGTGTAACACATATTAAAGATTTTAAAGATTTATTCTAAAAAACACACAAATGTATTTTTTTTGGCAGTACTGGGGATTGAACCCAGGGCCTTTGCACTGAGGTCTATACATCTCCAGGCCCCTCCTTTTTTTTCTTTTGAGACAAGGTCTCACTAAGTCATCCAGGCTAAACTCGAACTTGGGATTTTCCTGCCAGATTCCCAGAGTGCTGGGACTATAGGTGTGTGCCACCGTGCCCTGCTCAGAGATTAAATTTTAAGAAATTACATATTGCAGCTGGGTGTGATGGTACACACATGTACTCTCCAGTACTGCCAAACAAAAAACACACACACATAGAATCACTAACATTTGAGAGATATTTTACATAGTTTTTTTTAAACCAAAATGTTATCAATTCTACTTCTCTTTACCTTTTTAAACATGGTGACTACTAGAAAACTTAAAATTAATATGTGGTTTGCATTTTATTTCTGTTGGACTGTGTTGATTTAGCATACTGAAAGACTAAGAAATAAGAAATTGGTTAAATAAGATTTCCATATAGTGGAATACTACATAAACGTAAGAGAATGTAAAAGTGCTTTTAAATATTCATGTAAAATAAGCTTCCAGTTATTATGTGAAAAATATGGGAGCTGGAGCATGTTGCCCTAAAAGCCACTTGAATGTGTCTGTCTTGTGTATAAAAGCATTAGAGTGGAATGACAAGTACTGGCACAGGATCAGATGCTTCACAAAGAGGCAGACTTTTTTTTTACTACACATACTTTTTCCAGCACTTTGTTTTTGTGGTGAGGGGACTGAACTCAGGGCCTTCACACTGAGCTACATCCCCAGCTCTTTTTCCATTTTTTATTTTGAGATGGGTTATTGCTAAGTAAGTTGCCCAGGCTGGGATCAAACTTCCAATCCTCATGCCTCAGCCTCCTAGAGTGCCCGGATTACAGGTGTGTTATCACTATACCTAGCTCTACATAAATATATTACCTATTTAACACCACCCCCTTCCCCCAGGGCTAGGATGTATCTCAGTGATGGAGCACACAATTAAGTTTAGCATGCTTGAGGACTTGAGTTCAATCTTTAGATATTCCCCTGTCAAGCATCTGGAGCCTTTTAAAGACTCTAGGCACAAAGCCAGGCATGGAGCCGTATACCTGCAATCACAGCACTCAGGAGGCTGAGGTAGGATTGTGAGTTTGAGACCTGCCTGGACTGTACATCGCTCAGAGAAAAAAAGACCCCAGGTACAGAAGAAAACAGAGCAACCAACTCTGATGTGTGGACAGGTTCCAACCCTGGTCACAAAAGTACAATGGCTCCATCACCAGAAGTCCTTACTGAGGGAACACACGTGTTCCTTATTGCTTTTGACAAGATAGTAACTAGTTTCCACAATTGGCACAATCAGTCCATACCAGCTGGGCGGAGGAGTAGGACAAGAAACACCTTTTTTTGTCCACTTTAGTCCTGCCCCATCAAATCCTCACCTTGTTCTCCTTTTCAGCCAGTCTCTCAAACATGTTAGCATAGAGCTTCTTCTCCCGGGCAAGCTGCTTGCGGATCCTCTGCTGGCACACAGCCAGCTGGGTCTTGGCAGCTTTGTTGCTGGGGTAGAGCTGCAGGACCTTCTGGAAGTCAGCTCGTGCTAGGTCAAAGTCATTCACTGCCAGATGGGCCTCTCCTCGGCGGAAGAGACCCTTCTCATTGTTGTTGTCCAGTTCCAGGGCCTGAGAATGCAGAACAAGACTTCAAAGTCCTATAGCTTACTTGGCCTTGGCAGGGTTCCAAAGGGACCCCTAAAAGCAGGATCAGAAATGGCTGGTGCCAGTCCAGAACAAGACTTGGGTAATTAAATGCAAAAGATCCACGTCTAGGAAGGAACTCAGTCCAAGAAGAATGGGAAGGTGCCATATTTTGGATGAAAAAAGGATCTGATATTCCCATTTTTTAGTGTAGATAAGAAAGAGGAAGCAGCTAAGAACCAGGTTAGGAAAAAACTCTAGTTCTTTCTACCTGGTACTTGCTTCTACTTCTGTACCAACTGCCTCCCACTACAACCTGAAAGTGCTTGCTACTGGCATCTTGTACCTCTGTGGTCTCCATGATCTCCATTCTCCTAACAATATACCCCACTATTTCCACCCTAGTCACCAAGAGCAAGAGTCAGACACTGGCAGCTCACCTACCCCTGCTTGTGAGTGTTATCTTTGTGTCCTCTAATGGGACCTCACCTTGTTACAGCTTTCAATGGCAGCTGAGAAGGCCTGCAGCTTCAGATGACACATGGCCAGGTTCAGGTGGGAGGCCAGTCGAAGGGCCTGGGCCTTCTGTGCTTCCTCATCAGAAAAACTTGACTCATACTCCAGCCAGGATACAATCTTCTTATACTGCAGTAAAGCCTGCTTGTACTTGCCTTCCTAGAATGGGAGGCAGATTTAGGTCCCTAGCACAGGCTCAGTGGCATTAGGCTGCCATATCCAGTAAACAGTGAGTGACCTGTGGGTACAAGACTCCTGTCCACTGCTCTCCCTGTCAAGATCAATGGGCTCAGTCAGATATAGTAGCAGAAAACTGCAGGGAAAGGGTGGGCCCACAGCAGCCCTTACTGGTGGTGTCCTGAGTGTGACTGTTGGCTCACCTTGAAGTACACAGTGCCCCGCTCTTTCACTATGGTGCTCTGCTCCAGCTTTTCCTCGGAATTCATCTCCCAAGACTCCTTAGCCTGCCATACACCAGGGGTGAGACAAAATGATTAGTGTCCCTATAGTCACCGGTAGGACAGAACTGAATCCAGTGGAAGAAAACCTTGAGCAAACCTACCTTCTCAAAATTCTTAAGGTGTATCTCATATCTCAGCTCAGCATTTGGTGGGATTTGGAACTTCTCCTTGCCAACACTGCCAAAACCATAGCTGCAGGGGTGAAAAAAACCTTTGGGTCATATTGGCAGCCCTTAACCTGTCCCAGGCTGAAAAAGCTTCCTGTTCATTTCCAGGAAAGAACCTTCCCATCTCTTAAGAATTGGTTCAAATCTTTCCTGTTTGGCAAAATATTCCCTAACCTCCTCACACAATTAGGATTTTCTGTAGCATTTTCTACAGCTTCTCATAACTCTTAATCACATGGTAATATGATTACTAACTTAAAGGGTACCTCAGTGAATGAGGCACTGGAAGGCAGGAATGATGTTAGTTTTGAACCTCTACAATTTTCAGCAGTGTGTCTGGCATATAGTAAGTGCGTCTTAATAGAGGGTGTTAATCATCAAGTTGGAGCCTTTCCTCAAGCTGTGACCTTTGTGGGAAGGCATCTCTCCTTTCGAGCCTTAGGGTACCAATATTCTGTGTTTTCCTTGTAACAGAATACTTTTTCATCTCCTGACTTCTTTCAGTGAGAATGCCTCAACCCCTGAACCTGTTTCCAGTCTGAAAGAACTTCATAGCCCTCTTTTCCAATTTGAAGCCTCTATTATTGGCCACTTTCTGGCAGCAGCTAGAAATCTTGATGTGGGTATAAGACAAAGACTAGGCTTTGATCCACAGAAATGTGGACAATTGTGGCCACACTTCTAATTACAACAAAGGGGTCAAAATGTTCTAAATTTGGTACTCTAGATTACAGCAAACAAACAAAGGGGAGCAAATACAAATGGCCAGTTATATAACTCAGCACTGACACTCTGATCTTTGACCTTCATCTGCCTATCTGGTTGGCAAAGTGTCTATGGCTCACCTGGGCTTGAGGTATACAATGGAATGTTCTCCTTTCTCCATGCGCTGAATGGCCTTCTCTAGCCCACAGGGAAGATCCTGGCTCTCCCCATCGCCGACCTCAAAGCGGACCTCCCGCTGGTCAAAGAGCTGGTCCTTATAGTACCCTTCCAGTGTGACTGGAATGAAAGAGAGGCAACATACCAGTGGTGTGAGAGGGCAGCGCCCTGGGAAAAGATACTATCAGCCTACCTGCATCTCCCCATCACTTCTTGTCCCCACAATATCCCTGTCATGTTCTCAGACCTGAAGGGATGTTAAGAGAGTATGGCCCAACATCTCATTTTATGGATAAATCAGACTCAGAAAAAAAGGAAGTGACTTGCCCAAAGCCAACCAGGGCCTAAGTGTAAGTACCAGAATTCAAACCAAAGACTTCTCTCCACACTCTAGACCATGCTATCTCACCCTCCACAATAGCGCCATCATTGGGCCTGGAATAGCCTTCACCCCGAGTCTGTATTCTTCGGATGATTCCACCATCTTCATCTTCGGTCAGGTCCTCTCCCTTAAACTCAAACAACTCCACCTGTGGGACAATCATAAGGTGACCAATGCCTTCCTGCACTAACTCAGCAACTTCTTTCATCCAGAAGAGTCTCTAGTAACTGCCAGAACAGATCTGTCCATGGGACAGTCACACTAGGAGTCAGAGTGGCACCTCTGCCAAGTTCTTGGGAGCTGCCCTGGCTTCCACTTTGGCAGTGGCACCCAGGTCACTGGACTTCAACCAGCCTCAGAAGAATCTATGTATTACTCTGGTCAACTTAACAAGGACACAGGAAGCCCAATCTGGTAGGCATCAGAAATGTCCTAGCATCCCTCAGCAGTCTTTCTGAATGTTCTCAAATATCCACTGCCAGGCTTGCCATTTTTCAGACCTAAAAGCATCAGTGTCATCTCTTTAGGGAAGTCTTTCCTCAATCTGTGACCTATGGGAAGGTGCTGCTCCTTCCTGAACTCTAGGAGACCAACAGTCTGTTTAGTTTTTAAACAGCATACTTTCTCTCTCCTGATTTCTTTCAGTAGGAATGCCTCAACCCCTGACCCTGCTTCCATCTGGAGGGACTTCAGAGCCCTGTTTCAACCTGAAACCTCCATTACTGCCTGGCCACTTTCTGGCTGCAGCAGAGCCAGCTGCCTTTTCCAGTTCTTCTAAGGCCAGGCCCTCAGCTTTGGCAACATTGTCTCCAAGAGGCAGGAAGGGCTGGAGGGCAGCCAGCCACTGGGCTGAGATAAAGCCTGGCTCTCTGCCTGGGTCTTTATGGCTGGACACTCACCTCAAACACAAGTATGGCATTGGGGGGGATATTTGGAGGACTGCCTGCTGAACCATACGCATATTCTGGTTTGCAGGTGATGCGGCACAGTTCCCCCACCTTCATGGTTGCCACAGCAATATCCCAAGCCTTGATGACCTCCCCTGCAGGTAGAGAAAAACAGCATCTCCTTAGCAGGATTCTGATTCTGACCCCAAACCATGTCTCCAAAGAGAGTTACCATAATGCACCCATCAGGAAGCTGAACACCCTTTAGAAATGGGACTAGAAAACAAGAAGCTTGCATCAAGTGCTATCAGGTCTCAGAACTCTACAAAGATCACTTGACTCTGGAATAAACGAATTCAAGAAGCAAGATAGTCTATCCTTGAACAGTGAGATGGTGAGTTGATGAGAAAAGGGAGAGACAAATCAATACAGTTACAGAACAGTAGAAGTACAAGTCATAGAATGAGTAATGTACTGTGATACATCCCTCTTCGAACTCAGTGTTGCAAACACGATTTCTGCTTATGATAATTTTCATCCATCTCAAACCCTATCCCACCAGCCCAGTGACCATGCCTACCTTTTCCCAGGTCAAAGGAGAATTTATCCTTGCGGTCCAGACTGGAGTCAAATTTTGTGCCATCTAATAGCCAGCCAGTGTAGTGCACAAAGACTCGGTCCCCAATCATGGGTGTCTCTGTGCCTTTACCCTCTCTCTTGATGACCTGGGAAGGAGGATAAAATGAGTACCCAGGTACAAGTGTGGAAGGGGCCCCAAACTGCCTGCAAGCTTCCTAGAGGAACCTAATAGTTCCTGTCCACTCTCCCATGCCTCTCATAAGCAGATTCAAGGGACCAATCATCAGATCATTCTGATGTTACTAGTGTGGCTAGGAATCACCTGCTCATCTTTTTATGGTGCTGGGATTGAACCTAGGGCCTCATGCATGCTAGGCAAGCACTATAACCACTGTGCTACACCCTTAGCCCTTGTAAGTTTTTGAAAACAGGGTCTCACTAATGCCCCAGCTAGCCTCAAATTTATGATCCTTACAATAACATCCAAAAAACCCACAATATCTAGGAATCAATCTAACAAAGGAAGCAAAAGACTTCTATACTGAAAATTACAGCACTCTAAAAAAGGAGATGGAGGAGGATATAAGAAAATGGAAAGACATCCTTTGTTCCTGGGTAGGAAGAACCAATATAGTGA